CTTTAAAATAATAGAAAATAAGTATGATTGTGTTTTAGAATCCCAACGTATTTAAATCTTTTCGGTTCTTCGGCGTTACGGTCAGCATAGCTTATTATTATATGTATGTATATATATGAAGGGTCAATTTTAAAAAAACGCGGTATCCGCCATTTTGAAAAAAATGAGATAACTGTACATTCTTGTAGAGCAAACCAGGTTCCTCTAGGACTTATTAATTTTATCTACAAAACACATTTTAATAATGCATTATTCAATGTCTAAAAATGATTTTATTTTCAAAAAGTGGTATGTAATATTTTTTAAATATCAAAATGCTGTATAAATTTTCGGGCCAATCCGTGTGCTTGGCAAGCTATACTGCGGTATTCTGCGCATGCGCACTAAACATCGCGACGCGAAACAACAACAAACACGGTGCATAACAACGGCCTGGATGAAACAGTTGTTTGTACTAGAAAATCTCGAAAAAGAAAGAAAAAAGTCAACACGAGAAAAAGACAAATCATTTCGTCATTCAAGCGGAGGTAAGTTCCCCTCGGTGACGTGTCATGGAGGAAAGTTCCCCTCGGTGACGTGTAATCACGATAAATGGTTCTGTAAGGTGAGTTACCGGTAACTTCATTAAAAAACCACTAAATTTCATTTTACATTATTATTATTATGGTTATGGTTGCTACACATCAGAAATGAAAATAAAAAGTTGCTTTACAGAGTTATCTGTGTTATTTATTACATATTCAATCTTTTACATGCAGGTCCAGCCATGACAAAAGAAAAGGGGACTAAAGGACAGAAATATTTGCACTCTGATTTGAATGTAAATAAGAAGCATCAACTTTTCCTGGAACAAAACCAAACTGCTATTGAAGATGATGGACACTCTGAATCATACACTTCATTATTTTCTATTTTGTCGTTGTTCTAAATTCAAATAAAATGATTCGTGATTTGAACATCATCTTGTTTAATTTTGTAAGAATTCAGATTTATAAAAAAACAAATTATGCAAACGTATAGCACTCTAAACATTACACTATTACAAGGTACTTTCCAGCATTTATAATATTGTTCTGTTAAAATATATCAATAAAAAACATTAATCATACACAATTATATAATGTATATGATACAATTTAATTTTTACTTTGTTATATTTATATAAGTGGTTTGTAATCTATAAACAACTTGAATTATTTGCTACTGGGAACAGTGGCGTAGCTAGGGTCGGTGTCACCCGGTGCGGTAAACTCGTGGTGTCATCCCCTCCCCCCCCCCCCAATCCCCACTCCAACTTCAAAGATGGATTTGTTATAGTTGAAAAAAGTCCACAGTATAACAATGATCTGCTAATTCCTTGATCACTGATCTGGATTTCAGAATGAAAGCGAGCAATGCACACACGCATCTCTCTTCTCTTTACTTCTCGCAGAGAGAGTCTAGCATCTATTAATTGTTCTCCTTTCGTTCTCTCCTTAAAACTTTTTGTTCTCTCTAACGAAATTTCATATTGGTCTGATTTTAAAAGTCCTGGTACATTTTCAATAGTATGTTACACAAAGTGAAAGCGATTCTTGTGCAGAAACAATCTTAAGGCCTCTAGGTTGGTCATCATTTTGTCAAGAGTGAAGCCTTCAGTCTGCAGATACTTCTGTGTAAGATTAACATCTTCAAGTAGATCATCCCAAAGGTAAAGGTAGAAGATAAACTTGAAATCACAGACATCATGTAAAAGACATTGTGCTGTATTACAATTGTGCTCCAATGTTGAGATGTGGTGCTAGTGACGAATCGGCGAAAATTTTAGAGTATTTCTGAGTTTCGATAGATTTGGTTTCAAAAACATATTTTTAAAAGTTTTAAAAAATTTTAATTTAATATTAAAAAGTATTAGAAAATTTTGTAAAATATTATTTTGTTTACCCTAAAAGTAGGTAAAAACTCATTTTTAATGTTATTAATTTTTACCGATTCGATTCATTAACTTAGAATCGTCCTACCACATCATATTTCATTTCAATGGAAAGCTTTATTTCTCAGAATTTAGATAAATATTGCTTCGTGACATTTATGAAAGTTACCAAACACTTCAATCGGCGTTGAATTATGGTCAAAAAGGTGTTTCTGGTGCATCAATGGGATTAGTTACACGTGTGGAAAATGTACATGTGATCGGTTATCCTTTTATGAAATTCCGTTAGACTGAGCAGTTTGTGCTCTGCAAATATGCCAAGAGGACACAGGAACCATCATTTTGACAACATACATAGTTTATTTTATAGGGAATAAAAATATCATCACAACGTGTCATAAGTATCATCATACTATTGCTTTCATACTATTTCACAAATAACTCACTAGATATCGCTAGTGATATTTAGCCTTCTGACAACACATAGTAGTCAATCATATGCAGTTTGGTGACCTACTTTGTGATGTGTAATAATTATTACGTTTGGCTGAACCAACCCTAACCAAAGGTGTTCTCCAAGCTGCCGTAAAGAAGATTGTATTTTCATTTTTCTGCCTTTTTAGGTCTTAAGATGCACAATTGCAGGACAAAGCTTACTATGAGTGAAATCTATTTGTATAGCCATATTTAACAAACAATAAAGGTGGTTACCTTTTAAAAATATAAATTGTATTTTAATATTAAAAAGGAGCCGTCCATAAATGATGCACCATTTTGGCGGATTTCAGAACACACCTCCCCACAACACCTCCCCACAACACCTCCCCACAACACCTCCCCACATTGCCACAAATTTGGAACAAAAAATTAGACACTCTCATCACAAATAAAAAGTGTGCTGTGAGGTATCATGAAAAAGAGGGGGGTGGGGGGGTTAGCAAAATTGAATTCACGTTTTCATCAAGTAATACTTTAATAGATGGGAAGTTCACGCATTGCTGTCGCCAATGTTTGGTGGGCTCCATCGAGTATTAATAGAAGAGGCCTAACACCTCCCCACAACACCTCCCCACATTGCCACAAATTTGGAACAAAAAATTAGACACTCTCATCACAAATAAAAAGTGTGCTGTGAGGTATCATGAAAAAGAGGGGGGGGGGGGTTTAGCAAAATTGAATTCACGTTTTCATCAAGTAATACTTTAATAGATGGGAAGTTCACGCATTGCTGTCGCCAATGTTTGGTGGGCTCCATCGAGTATTAATATAAGAGGCCATCCATAAATGATGTCATGGTCTAGGATTGGTGGGCGGGAGGGGGGCATCCCACTTTTGTGACAATGTGTGATGAGGAGGGAGAGTGGGGCTTAAGCAATGTGACATCACATGAAGAGCGAAATATTATAGTAAGCAGCTGCACTTAATAACTCTAAATTACAGACATTTTTAAAATTCTTTTATACAACAATTATAATTATTTTATTTTTAAACTATGATCATTGAATCAGTACAGGTATGCGAATTCCAAAAAATGCCGTCTCATCAAGTTATAGGCCACCATGGAGGAGGAGAAAATGGGTGTAGTGACATTGACAGTCGAGAGAACTTCTGTTGAAATGTGAAGACAGGAGTCATAGAATTAGGACTACCACGTAAAGTGGGATGGAATGGAAAAAAATGGTTGACCGGGATGGGGGAGAAGTGATCTTAGTAAATGCTCTGGGGCAAGGATTCTTAACTTTTTTGCATCACTGCAGGCCAACTCTGTTTTAAACATCCTCCCAACCCCCAGGCAATATGAATTATATTATAATGAAATTTAAAATATGAAAATAACAAAACAATTTAGTTATGATCATAGTTTAATTTTTTAATTAACTTTTTAAACAAGGAAAAAAATTACCAATAAAAGTAATGCGCAAACAAAATTCACCAGAAAAACATATACTACTGCTAATCAAAATGCATAAAAATTGATTTTGTTTTTTTAAAAAAGCAGCAACAAATAGCAACAGCAGCAAATACAATTTTCTGGTCTTCTGCACCTCAGGGCTGGTAAATTTACCCTGGTTAAGAACCAGTGTTCTAGTGAAATGTTTCTGACACAGGTGCAATAATTTGATATCTATGGGAGGTGAATTTCTTAAGGGTTTGTAAAGGACATTAGTAGACACAGGGAATTTGTAGAAGGGGGTGGGGTAGCAAATATTTACATTACATTATATTTGAGGGAGGTCTAACTTTTTGTGATGATTTGTGATGATGAGCGGTTGGGGAGGGGGGCCCCTAAGCATACTATAGTATCATGTCTTTATTAAGGATTGTGACAGTGTTGTAATTTGTCTGTAAATTTAATTATTTCTATAACTATAAATAATTCTTGGAGATACTTGTTCTTGGAGGTAAATTAAAAAAAAAAAAAAAAATGAAGCTTCAACTTTTTCCTGAAACATAATTCAAATTTTTTTCATATGTAGGATCATTTATTTACTCGAGTGATTACTTGTATAAGTTATTTAAATTTCAGAGCTTAAAATAAATTTATTATAGAATTGGCAACAAGCTTTGGCTTGTTTGTTTTTGTTTTCTTTTAGGCTACGGCTAGGTATAACTGTCTGATGAATTCCTAAATTTCTGAGCCATGCAAGATATAACTTCAAAAACCAGAAGATGGAATTAAAAATGTAAAACAACCTTCTTTTTTAAAACATCCCCTTCTTTTTGAGTCTTGCTCAGAGGCCCTGCCTCTTTAGTCCAAGGAGCCATAATTTTAATTAAGTTTAAAGCTGGTCGCCATATATCAACAATCCGGGCCTTTAGGGTTTCCCTGGGTTTTATAAATCTATCTCTCAAGCTAAAAGAGCTGAAAGACTTATATTATTTTATATTTATAAGGCAGAAAAAAATCCCTGTACCAAAATTTCGTTCCAATCAAACTTGTATAATTTACAAAGGAACATGTATTCCTTAAAAATGTATTATTCAGAAATATAAGACACTTAATTTTTAAACATTGAATATATTTATCAGACTGCATTCAAAATAATAGTGACAATAAGGCAATAAGGCTATTATTACTGAGTATTATCTGGCAAATGCGTCGATGGCAACATGGCTGCTATTCAACCTAAAAATACTTATGTGAGTGTTCCTGATTCTCGAGTTGTTTATTGTAGTCACTTTCAAAGACACGTGAACCCTGTCTTAATAAAAATAAAATAGCCTAAAGCTTCTCAGTAGTACATGCCCGTGTATAAAATAAAAATATGATGCTTATTTATTTAGCATACTCTCTAGGTGTAATGCTATTACTATTATTACTATTATATTATTAGGTAGATCAAGATCTGAGTTAAGTCAGTCTAACTTAGCCTGACTTGGGCTTAGAGGGCGACCAAACGTCCCGAAAAAACGGGATTGTCCGTTTTTTCACAATCGTACGCGTTGTCCCGAAAAAGTCTCTCGGGACGCCTAAATGTCCTGTTTTTTGTTTAACCAATCACATTTTCTAATCACTAAAACTTCCTAATTTATAATATAATATAACTTCAAATAATAATATTTTGGCTAGCTGTGTAGCCAGTGCCAGCAGTAATGTGGGCTTTCGATGATGGCAACACCATTCTCTCTCCACCACAGTTTCCCTGCCATAGATTTTATATGTAAAAAAGACACAAGACTTGAAGCCGCAGGGGATTTGGGGGGGGGGGGGATGTAACTGTGCAGAAAACAATTTTGATTCCACGACCGCTACGTGTAATGTGTTAGTCTTATGTGTGATCCCTACCGGCCTGTTCGTGTCAGAGTGACAGGTGTTTTTTTGAGGTGTTAAACTTTATTCTTCTTCTATATCTTAAGGGCCCACGATCAATTTATTGATCATTTTGGCTCCTATGCATGTAGATGGGATTTACGATGTTTCTTTTCCTGGTGTTGATGAGGAAATTTCACTGATTTCCAGCGCCACTTTGTGAGGGAATCATGCACTAGGGGTTTGAAGGCTTGAGGCAATAGACACAAATGTGTCTAGTGTTGTGGCCTCAACCGTTCCTTTTGAAAGCTTGTTCCAGACCCTGATTGTCTTTAACTGGACAAAAAGAAAACAATCGTCCTTGAAAGCGTCCCGTTTTTTCCAAATCATGATTTGGTCACCCTAGTCTAACTCTAAGTCTAAGTTAGTGAAAGCCAAGGCCATATCAAACTATTTTTAAAAATTTAGTTAAATTACACATTCTTTAGGCCTAGACTAAGCCTTCAGTTTTTTTTACTGTTAGTTTAGGCTTAAAGGCAAAATTTTCAAATTTACACAATCCGTTCCACTCATTTCACCATGATTTTGCACAAATTTGCACTACTTTTTTTCTTTTCTCATGGATGCCATCTTTTTTGCTATGACGGCAGATGTGTCATTGCATCAAGGATGGTAGTTATGTGTAAAAAAAAAAAAAGGAGAGCAAATACCTGTCTGCTGAAAAATGGGGAAGGGAATCAAAATTTTCAAATTTACACAATCCGTTCCACTCATTTCACCATGATTTTGCACAAATTTGCACTACTTTTTTTGTTTTCTCATGGATGCCATCTTATTTGCTATGACGGCAGATGTGTCATTGCATCAAGGATGGTAGTTATGTGTAAAAAAAAAAAAGGAGAGCAAATACCTGTCTGCTGAAAAATGGGGAAGGGAAAGGGTGAGAATATATTGCTTCAATTGCTTACTGAAAGAAAAGAAAATTAGGAATATCATTAGAATAGGTTGCTTTTTTTTAATAGAAAAACATTAGAATAATGAGTATTTTTGAAAGTGTGTTGCATAAAACTGATAATATTTAAGAACATTTAATAAATAAATAGAAGAAGTGAAAAATTCAAAAAATTAAAAATAAAAACATTAAATATTAGCAAAAAACATGCAAATTTAATGCATTTTTGAAAAGTAAAAATCTAAAATTTTACATAACCTGAATGCTAAGTCAGTATCCTTAATTCAAGCGTAAATTCAACGGTAGCTTTATACCCCCCTCCCTCCCCCCAACTAGCTAAAATTCGCACCTAAATTTATAGAAAAATCTACATCTCTCAACAACACAGGTTGAAAACCGCTCTACTAGAGTTTAATACCAAGATACATATTGCCCAGCAGTTATAAATACACTGTACCTAACCTCACCCCTAACTGACCAGTGGTCACTTTGAATAGACTGATGGGTTTACAGCTTACTTTCTAACAATATTATTGTTATAGAGAGCTTGTTTACATAATATTTCTCGTGCGTGCCCTCTGATTGACCCCGCATGAGACGCTGTGTTCACAAAGGGGTGTGGCTTAGGCCTTTGATGTATTCTTGTTTACACCGCCAACTACTAAAAATAATTAATCTGTTCCAAGTAGTGTTTTGTAGAATGAATCTGATGGTTCTAGAAATGCCATGTAGCTTGTCGAAGGCAGGGCTTAGGCGTCGGTAGACCCACCTATATAAGGGATTGACAGGCACGGACGAGGGACGGAGATTTTCAGATAGATTTTCTTAACATTACGAGGCGTGTTTTATTCTTTGTGTATTTGTGTGCTCATATGTGTTTATTTTGCATTATTTATTGGCACATTATTCTAACTGTGTTAACTGTGTACTGGTACAAGATCTACCATACTGTAAGTTGAAGATTGTAATTATATTTTTCTTTTCTTTTGTAATTATCTTAAGACATAATAAATCTTATTAATTGTAACTAGAAACTGTTTTGGGTCGTATCTTTAATATTGTTGATTCTATGGTATCGTCCTTTGTTAGGCACTGTTTACAACGAGCCAATTAAAATTAAAATAGGAGATTAACTTCTCCCAATATAAGTCAGTGCGTAACAATTATTTTGAACGTAAGAGCTAACCAAAAATATTTATTGGACATACAAAACTGTGCACAGGATGTACGACATCCAAAACTGTGCACAGGATGTAAAATTAAGTTGAAACATAGTTAGAGTAAATGACAACTTAAGTTAAATTTGATTTATAAAAAAAAAACTGATTCAACATTCTTTAAATTATTTTCATCCTAGTCAAAAGAAGTTGGAAATGTTATGACAACATTAGATGTTGTTCCCAAGAAGAAAACACCTAAAAGAATTCTGCACTTCAGTGATGGAATTCTAGAGGAATATTCTTCAGATGAAGAAGAAACTGTTTCAACCAATAATAATCAACTTAACCCTGTAAGTTAGTTTTATTTCATAGTACTTACGCATCATATTGCAATGCTAATGTTATGCAATGTGATTGTTTATTTGCATTGTTCTCAACCTTCATATTGCAATCCCAATGTTGTGCAATGTGATTGTTTTAAAAACATTTTATGCGATCATGTGACGTAAAATTTACTTTCCACCAATACAATTTTTAAAATATTTTTACAGGACTTGGGAAGTCCTAGATCTTAATAAATTTAAAAAAACAAATATAGGAATCAATAACTCCACTTGATATATTTATATTATAATTTCAGAAACAATTGCCATGGGGTCCTTGGCTTGTTCATTATGCCTCCGCAGCCGCTCATATGTCCCTTTCTGGTACAGACTATGCTGCTTTTTCAAGCTATTTAATTTAAAACATATTGTATATTTATTTTATTTATAAAAGTATTTTTGACTTTCAACTATTTTCATACCTAATTGTTCATGAAATGCAATTTTAACAAAAATAAAATTATTGTTATCCTAATGGTTTTATTCATTAATTTTTCATTTAGCTGCGGATTTTTGTGGAGAAAAACTTGCCTCCTTGCTTGGGATAACGACCCCTAAATACCAATATGCAATAGAAGAATACAAGAGAAGGGAAAGAGAAGTATGTTTTGAACATCAACAATTTTATTTAATATAGATTATTTAAGTTTAAATTTTCATAGTTTTCATAGATACAAAATAATTGCAAGTTTTTATTTGACAGTTTCTATAGTTTACTGTAGTGTTGATTTTTGTTGTTCAGATGATAATGAGACTGATATGAGACCAATTGTAGACTGATATGAGAGTGATTGTAGACTGATATGAGACTGATTGAAGGCTGATTGAAGACTGATATGAGACTGATTGAAAACACTCTTGAGAATATGTCCTACAAACGTCTAACCTTTAGTGTTTCTTTTAATAACATATATTTTTTATGACATAATTTTATGCTTTACCTAGTTATTAGCAACAATGTCAGTAGTCAGTGTAACAGTTTGATTGTGACTATTCAAATAATGTGATCACTAGGTTCATATTTACGTGCCCAATGATGTTATAAAATGTTCAATTTTCATGATAAAGTTGGAGGAAGATCGCATCAGAGATGAGAAACTGTCTGGTGAATCACAAGGTTTGTCTACGGTTGATGTTCAAGGGGAAGGAACCAAGAGTGCAGGAAGTGATGGGAATACAGGAAGTAGCGGAGGTCCTGGCATGACACCTGTCAAATATTAAACCATTTTTTAGACAGGTGGTTTGAATCTGTGGGATTGGAAGTTCCATTAATCTTAAGTCAAATTTCAATGATTAACAACTGTCATTGGTTACAGTTTCGATACTCACCCGTGGGTTTTGTGATATTAATCTTAAGTCAAATTTCAATGTTTAACAACTGTCATTGGTTACATGCCTGATAATCGCCTTTGGGTTCTGTGAAAATATCTTCCATGTTTAACAACTGTCACTGGTTCCATGACTGATACTCTCACCTGTGGCTTCTGTGACATTAATCTCCAGCTTTGATCTTATACATATGTTTATTCTGCAAGACTATTAATTTTTTTTTCTTATCGGCTGGGACCACAAGTCAGGAGACAATATATCGTTTAAAAAAATAACACTTTTTATTCCAGAAAATAGTTTATGTTTATTTTTGAATTCAATATTTTATTTAAGAACCGGAATCCAAAAATAAGCCTTTTTTTGATAGGATGAAGTTTCTTCTGATTGTTTTTTTTAAGGTCCAGACATTGTTGCTTGAAAGGGAGTGAAAGCTTCACTTTTAATTCAATCAAAGAGTACTTCGCCCTTTAAACAAACAAATTTGAATGTTGTAGCCTGAAGGCATAATAATGCACTAAAGTGCACAGACTCGGTAACTGTAAATGCAACACAAAATCACATTTTTACAAGTTTTCAAGAAACTTTCCTTAAATTACATCAAATCAAGACAAAGCCCTTGTAAAATTTTATTTCTTTTTATCTGTACAAACGAGTGCCTTGCTTTACTTTCGAAATGAAGTACAATTCATTGAAATGTCTTTAAAAAGTAATTTTACAGTTAAATTTCATTTAAAAATAGCAAGGGAAATAAATGCCTCTGCTATAAAAAAAATTTCAGAGCAGCAGTTAATGAACTTAAACTATTTAAATGTCATATTTATTTAATAATCATTGTTCAAGATGCCGAAACAAATATCTGCAAAAGTTTTTAAAAGAATAATTTGACTTGATTGTGTTTTCAAATGATTTTGAGACTAGAACTAGAGAATGTGGAAAACTAAAATCTTTAAAACTATTAATTAAACTCTATAAATTAGAAATTTTAAGAGAAATCAATTGCTTCATGTTAGTAGATTTTAAAAGAAATCAGTTGCTTCATGTTAGTAGTTTTTAAGAGAAATCATTTGCTTCATGTTAGTAGTTTTTAAGAGAAATCAATTGCTTCATGTTAGTAGTTTTTTAGAGAAATCATTGCTTCATGTTAGTAGTTTTTAAGAAAAATCAATTGATTCATGTTAGTAGTTTTTAAGAGAAATTAATTGATGCTGCATTTTTATGATATAGATTTCTGAAAAGGCTGTCCTGAATTGTTTCTGGTCATTGGATGTTAATGATCAAAACTACCAATTAGGTCATGAGCCAATTAGGTCATGAGCTGCTGTGTATGCCACAGTAACTTGAAGTATTTTGACACTGAAATTATACTCTGATACAAGACGCGACACTCTTGTACAACTCAACAGGATATTTTCCTGTCAATGAGGTCGCTGGTCAATGAACTGTTTGACAACCATCCTGTTCCTGTCAATGAGGTCGCTGGTCAATGAACTGTTTGACAACTATCCTGGCTCCTCATTGACATTCTCTTGATTGTGTCATAATGATATTTTAATTTGTGTATGTGGTTTGATCTTTTGTGTTTCATTAATTTATATGATCATGCATTTATGAAATATTAGTTTTAAAACTTTGAAGCAGAATGGAAAGCCTACGCTATATGGTGGGTAACTTGTATTTTGTGATTTAATTTATGATTTAAAAAATGTTTATATCCAAACAATAACAGAAACACTGGTAGTTAATGAGTTAAAGAACAATCATTTACATTCCTAGATCTAGTTTAATCATCTCTGAGAAGCTTTATTTGAAGCATCTCTGGGAAGTTCTAGTCCACTGCCAATCCAGTCAGTAATAGTTGTAATCTAACAATGTTTGCTGAATTGCAGCCTGTTTTTATACATTTCATACTTTAGAGTTGTATTTAGTTTTAGTAGAGCTTAATCAAGCATGAAACTTTGCATTTCAACATGAGCAATTGGTGCTCATGTGGTGCTCATGCGGTGCTCATGTGGTGCTCATGTGGTGCTCATGCGGTGCTCATGCGGTGCTCATGTGACAATGTGACCTCCCCATTCTAATCTCAGAAACTCTGCCGTTAACTTAACAACTCGCAGACTCCAGACATTTCTTTGGATGAGGTTTACTTTAGTAGTCATACTTCAGCTGGATTACTGCAGTAGTTATTGATCCATTAAGATTTCGTCAGTAGGTATAATTCAGTAGTATTGGCTTGGTAGGCTTAGTTGTAAAAGAGTAATCTGTGGATTAGTATGCTTCATTGTAAAAGATTACTTCAGTGGATTAGTAGGCTTACTTTTGAAAGATTACGCCATTTGATTTACTTGAGTAACTCTTCTATAACTAGGGTGATTTAAATTATGACTGATCTGTGCAATATAACTGTTGGTGAAATCAAGGCCAATAAGCCAAACATCTGTACATTTATGATTCTATTTTTGTATCTTCTGTCATTGTTTATGTTTTATGCTATCAGTTGTTGTAAACTTTGTAACTCATGTAACTTTCTGTTTCAAACTCATGTAACTTTCTGTTTCAACCTGAGAAGCAGCTATCCCAACACTTATTTCTAAAAGATTGTCCTGAAACAATTTTGTTAACTTAAAATTTCATCAACAACTGATCTATGTTCTATATTCTATCTCTTGTGGCATTCAAGCTGCCCTAGTTAGTCACTATATGAACTTAACAACACCCCCCCCCCCCAACCACCACCACCACAAGCCGGCATTTCCATACACCCCTAACCTTTCGGATGTTTGAAACCATTTTGTTAACCTAAAATTTCATCAAACACTGATCTATGTTCTATATTCTCTCCCCTGTGGCATTCAAGCTGCCCTAGTTAGTCCCTATATTAACTTAACAACCCCCCCCCCCCCAACCACCACCACCACAAGCCGGCATTTCCATACACCCCTAACCTTTCGGATGTTGAGAGATTCCCAGGCCAATGACATTGTTCAGCAGCCATTCCCAGGCCAATGACATTGTTCAGCAGCCATTCCCAGGCCAATGATATTGTTCAGCAGCCGCTGAAATATTTCAAAATCCTTAACCAAACCTATCAAATGCCGGGAATGTCATTTAAAAAATACCCAATGTTAATCACACCATGAATATTATAATATAATTGTTTAATATGCTAAGATTGAATCTCATTCCTATTAAAATCAGATTGAAATCATTCAGCTCTCTGCGGCTTTATCTAAATAGTGAGAGATTTGTTCTTTGATTGAGAGTCATAATTTTGTTACATGTTATTATGCATTTTTTTGTGTTCACAATGTTTCCCATATGTAACAATGTTTCTTGAATGTTACAATGTTTCCCGTATGTAACAATGTTTCTTGAATGTTACAATGTTTCCTGTATGTAACAATGTTTCTTGAATGTTACAATGTTTCCCGTATGTAACAATCTTTCTTGAATGTTACAATGTTTCCTGTATGTAACAATGTTTCTTGACTGTTACAGCCTCACATGAAATCTTACACCTGTTTTGCTGGATGAGAAATAAAATAAATGTATCTACAGCATTGTTTGAATTTCCTTCAGGTGTTGGCCACACGAAACACAAGTGGTCTGGTGTTTATTTTAAATGTATACTTCATAGATCAGTTGGTTTAAGAAGTATGCTACTACTATTATACTAATAGAACATTTACCATTCTCTTCCTAACAATAGAGCATGGGATAAGCTAACCAGATTGTCTGGATGCCAAGTACCGACACAATGGTTAGCAGCAACGAGGGGGGGGGGGAGGGGTGTTGTGCATAATTTTAAATGTCCTTCTGTACATCCTTTTGTTACAAACTATTGTGAATTCCATTCTCAAGAAGCTTATCATAAAATTGAGGACATGTTAGATCAATATTACGCTGAACGATTAAAATATTTCTCAGAGTGGTTAGTTTCAACTCAATTTTTCAGACTTCTAAACATTGTTTACCTGAGAGAAAGCTCGTTCCACAGGTGCATGTGTGCTGAGAAGGTTGAATGAAATTTCAAACAGTAGTAATAAATGTACAGCAGTGACGTCATTTGCTTTGAGCTATGGAAATATTTGAACCCATTTTTGATCTGCAGAAATATGGTGTCTGTCTCAACGTTGTGCTTTTGTCTGTCCCAACGTTGTGCTTTTGTCTGTCCAAACGTTGTGCTTTTGTCTGTCCCAACGTTGTGCTTTTGTCTGTCCCAAAGTTGTGCTTTTGTCTGTTTCAACGTTGTGCTTTTGTCTGTCCCAACGTTGTGCTTTTGTCTGTCCCAACGTTGTGCTTTTGTCTGTCCCAACGTTGTGCTTTTGTCTGTCCCAACGTTGTGCTTTTGTCTGTCCAAACGTTGTGCTTTTGTCTGTCTCAACTGTCTCAAATCACAGAAAGCGCTGTCCTGTAACTCAGTGGTCCCCAAACCCCGGGCCGCGGCTCAAATAGTACCGGGCCGCCCAAGAAACATTAAATTATTTCCATTTTATAAGCTTACCAGATTTTCTGGATGATAAGTACGGACACAGAGGCTCACAGCAACCGGAACCATACAGGCGGTTGGGGTGGGGGTGGTGGTGTTGTCCTTGATTTATTTATTATTTTTTTTTGGGGGGGGGGGGCACTCCCCACCCCCAAACTCGTACGTACACGTAGCTTTTAGCCCCCCTCCCTCTTAAAAAAACCCAAAAACATCAACAGATTTAATGGGTAATTGTTACGTTCCAGATTTTCTGGATGATAAGTACGGACACAGAGGCTCACAGCAACCGGAACCATACAGGCGGTTGGGGTGGGGGTGGTGGTGTTGTCCTTGATTTATTTATTATTTTTTTTTGGGGGGGGGGCACTCCCCACCCCCAAACTCGTACGTACACGTAGCTTTTAGCCCCCATCCCTATTAAAAAAACCCAAAGACATCAACAGATTTAATGGGTAATTGTTACGTCACAGGATATTTTTTTTTAAGGAGTTGCACGTTTATACAGCCGACAATTTGGCCAGTCCAGTGGTCCCCATAATATGCGTGGCTCTGGGTACCATGTTGCCCTCAGGAGAGAGCCATTAGAATGGGGCAAAGAGGGCAGTCACAGCGTGAACCAAATTATAAAACAATCCAAAATATTAACAATCAATACCCCCCAAACCCTCAGCGGGCCGCGATAAAAATTATCAGACGTTGACCGGTCCGCGGCGATAAAAAGTATGAGGACCACTGCTGTAACTGACCAATAATACGTGAAAATAGTTTGTGACAAGTCAGATCGCAGCCCCCCACCCCCTTAACACAGGCACCCATACTGCTATTTAGAAGACCCCCTACCCCCATACACACTAAGTCAACACACCCGCCCATTTTGTGAGGTTCTCTCAAGGTCAGCTGAACGGAAGTGTACACACGCGAAAGTCAGTCTAGAAACTACGTCATATTACAACAAACACATGTCAACAACTCAAAGACGGGGAACCGTTCCGTATCTGATCTAACTCTCAAACAAACCTACGTAATAAAACACAAGTACTAGTGAATACCCATAGTCGACACCCTTCAAACTCGAGGTCGGACCGACCGGGTGTCTTTGGGTGGAGGCGGCGCCCAGGCCACATCGGAACCCGATCGAGTGGACTCGGGTGGAGGGCTGTCCTGGCAAAGAGACATCTTCAACGTGCCGCTTCTCGGCCCAATAGGGGGGGGGGGGGGGGGGGGCTTGCGGAGGGCATAAAGAGCAGTAGCTCCACGGCCCGCTGACGGAGCAGTAGCTCCACGGCCCGCTGACGGAGCAGTAGCTCCACGGCCCGCTGACGCCATTTCTTAATGTGACATTTCAAACTCGAGGTCTAGGTTTATGCTGACTTAGTCAGTGATGTGGAACAAAGATTTTCCCACTCAGTTCCCACAAAAATTAGTTAATGGTATGAAGATAGTGTGCACACCTCAAAGCCTTAGATTATACTTGATAGTAGGCCTGTAACCTTTGAACTCGAGGCTTAGCAAGACGCGTCTCAACCTAGGATCACTGTTCAACCCAGTCCCCATAGCCCCTGGCACAGTCTGGTAAACTTCAACAAATGTCGGTACAATAATGCGGCACAATGTGCCGTACAATAGGCAGTATCTTAAGTAGCTGCGAAGAATACATGTCTGTAGTCACTGCAGATAGTGACAATTCATGGAGCCTTGCGTGTCTTGAGTCACCGCAGGTAGTGACAATATATGACAGCGTATGTGTCTGCTGTTGCCGCAGGTAGTGACAATATTTGGAGCCTTGTATGCCTGCTGTCACCGCAGGTAGTGACAATATATGAAGCCTATGCAGTATTTAATAGCATACCCCATAATACACTTTCATATACCTTTTATATTTAATATACCGTATTTTCCGTCGTATCAGACGACTGGGCGTATCAGACAACCCCTTACTTTTCCTGTTAAAATGTAAGCTTTGGGCTATGCTCGCCGTGTAAGACTACCCCTAGCTTTGGGCTATACTCGCCATGTAAGACTACCCCTAGCTTTGGCCTATACTCGCCGTGTAAGACTACCCCTAGTGTTGTGAGCGAGAGTTGTTGTATTTTGTACTTGATATTGGAATTCTAGAGATAAGACTGTTCAGTGTTGGCTATTGCAATTTTGGGATGTCATTTTGGAGTGTGACATCACTACTGTGAGTGATGTCAACGAAAGGGGGGAGGAATGTTGTGAGCGAGAGTTGTTGTGAGTGTTGGGTAGGGGGAGTCGTGAGTCGTGAGAGTGTTTTGTGAGTTGTTGGTCGAGAGGTCAGAGCGTGAAGTTAGTCCGTGGTGTGGCACGTTTGCGTAGGCTGAGTTGTTGTGTGGTATTATAAAAGGGATGTGTGTTAGTCAGAGTTAGTCAGAGCAAGTCAGAGTCAGTGAGAGACAGAGAAAGACGGAGTGACACGTTAGGCAGTCAGAGTCAGAGAGCAAGAGAATTGTTAGTAGAGATAGAGTGAAGTGTATCCTGGTGTATAAAGAACCTAATAAACATTCTGTATATATATGTTACATGGGTCCTTTGCGTTTTATGTCATACACCCTAGACAACGGAGAGAGAGAGCCGTAACACGTCAAGCATAACCAAGTTTGTAACATTTGAAGTATAAAGAAGATTGTAACACCTAGCTTTGGCCTATACTCGCCATGTAAGACTACTCCTAGCTTTGGCCTATACTCGCCATGTAAGACTACTCCTAGCTTTGGCCTATACTCGCCATGTAAGACTACTCCTAGCTTTGGCCTATACTCGCCATGTAAGACTACTCCTAGCTTTGGCCTATACTCGCCATGTAAGACTACCCCTAGCTTTGGCCTATACTCGCCATGTAAGACTACCCCTAGCTTTGGCCTATACTCGCCGTGTAAGACTACACATTTGATTTCAATATGGTAATTTTAATTCAGATGCTTATGATAAGCAGGAACACTGTCACTGTCACAAGGCTGTTTGTCATCAAACATGTAAAACATAACACAGTACAAGCGGATTAAACTTTTCCTACTTTCACTGTCAAGCTGAAAGGCAGGAGAGGACAACACACCCATGGGAGCTGACATGCTGTTGGTTTTCTAAGCTGTCACCCAAACTGGAACTATGTGGCGCCTGTCCCTGAACTTTCAGCACGCCGTATACCAGCTTATAAGATGACCCCCGGCGTATAAGACGATCCTTGGCAAATAAGACGACCCCCCCGCAGCCCCCCCCCCCCCTTTTTCAGACTTTTGAAGAGATTTTCATGTGTTAAAATGTTGTCTTATACGTTGTAAAGTACGATAAAATAGTAAAGCAGATTTTGTCGCAAATTATCCATATAGAGCAAGGGACGCCCCTGTCAGCTTAATATGAACCATTGAGGTCAAAAATGCGCTTTTTTAGGTCAATAATGCGCATTTTTTCCGCAGCTAATTTGCCAATGCTTCCCTTCTTCCGGAGCAAAGTCTTAGTAAGATGATGGAATCAATAATGTCTTAATCAAAAGTGAGATGATAATATCACTAATTATTTAATAAAAAAAATCAGATAATGATATCACTAATCTATATTAAATATAAAAATGAATGTGTGTATGTCTGTATGTCTCGTATGCGCTCCTACACCATTCATGCGATTGCAACAAAACTTTGGTCAGTTGTTGTCCAAATAAATGGCCATTTAAATAAGTCATTAAAAACCTTTTAAATTGTTTCGTTCCTAATTGTTGGCCCTTAATTCGTTTTTTTTTTCTTCTGTGAGCTTTGTAAAAAATATTTTCCACATGCGCTCCTACGCCATTTATCCTATTCCGATAAAACTTTGGTGACATGTTGCAAGCATGTTCATAAAGGTTTATAAATGATTACAACCGTTTTAAAATATTCAATTTTGAACCAGGGGCTCTATATTGCATTTTCCCTTAAATGAGCAATATAAATATATTTTCAAACCGTATGCGCTCCTACACCATTCATGGGATTGCAAAAATACTTTGGGGAGTTGTTTTTCATAAGGCGTAGCATTTGACTGTGTTATTTAAACACTTTATAAAAATATTCCGTTTTCGGCCGTTGGCCCTTAAGTCGTACTTTTTCTCATATGAGCTTGGTAAAAAATAAATTCGCATGCGCTCCTACGCCATTTATCCCATTTCTTTAAAATTGGTAAGATGTTGCCGCAAGCACGACCGCAAGGTTTTTGAATTATTAGAACCGTTTCAAAATATTCTGATTTGAACCAGGGGCCCTATGTTCATTTTAAAAAAAAAATATAAACTATATACATATATTTTCAAACCGTATGCGCTCCTCTACCATTAATGCGATTTCAACAAAACTTTGGTGAGTTGTTATCAATAAGCCTGCGCATTTTATTCATTCATTACAACACTTTTAAAATAATCCGTTTTCAGCCGTTGGACCCAAATTAATATTTTTACTCATATGAGCTTTGTAAAAAATAATTTCCACAAGCGCTCCTACACCATTTTCCAGAATTCGATAAAACTTTAGTGAGATGTGCAATCGCCCACAAAGGTTCTTAAATTATTACAACCGTTGAAAAAAATTCAAGTTTGAGCCGGGGGCCCTATGTTGGTTTTTTCTAACATGAGCTATATACATATATATTCAAACAGTATGCGCTCCTACACCATTCAAGCGATTGCGATAAAACTGAGCTAATGCACGGGTGGATAGCTTCTTAATACATTACAAATAGTGACATTAAATTGTGTGTGTGACATATCAAGTAGGTTTCTGAAGTAATACAACATATCTACTATATTCCGTTTGTGGCCGGGGGCCCAAAATTCGTCTTCCACTCTTTTATTAACTATATAATTATCGTATGCATTTCTAAACCATTCATCCGATTGTGATAAAACGTAATCAATTGAAATACGCACTATCGCAAACGTTTCTAAAACAATATTCCGTTTGGGCCAGTGACCATAATTTCGTTTTCTCTTCTAAGAGTTTTATAACTATAATTTCAAACAGAGCTATTCCATGTGTGGATGGAGCTGAATCCACGCGCAATTTTTTCTAACTTAGTACAACCATTTTACAATATTTTTTTTTCGTTTTCTTAACTGAGCTTCATCAATATACTTTAAAACGGAGCTATCAACACTACCGTCCTTCAACAAATTACAAATTTGTAGTAAAGCAGAGAAAACACTTTTTTCAGTTTTAGTGTAGAGAGTATTTTTGTTAATCTTATAAATCAGCTTGAATTTTGTGACGCATTTTAGAATCGGATATGACGTTGAACACGTGTTGTTGTTTTTTTTTTAAATTAAAAATATTTCTTGAATAGAGTCTTATAATTTCGGAGTTGTTTTGTGTTATGTAAAGACATTTTACATGAATTGATGGTTTCTTAAGTAATTAAATAACACACTTGACAACGTAGGTATTGAACTATGGTAATATCGTGATTTTAACGCTGGAATTTATGATTTATGTAATTGAATGTGAAGCTATACAACTGAAACTCCCCTGCCAACAATGAACGTACCTATTGTGTGAGGTTTTCGTGTATTGAGATGGAAGAGCCTAACGTGTGAAAATTATTAAAGTTAGCAATATTGTAAATTAATCAAATACAAACAGCGACATCTCATTTTGTGTGTGACCTAACAAGTTGTGTTAATTGTGAAATACCATTGCTAAGAACAGATATCACATGCATTTGTAATATTCGCCACAAAGCAATAAGTTCACTGTCAAATCAATTATGCCACCCAAACGAAAAGCTATTGGTTTTTCTACACCCCAAGCACGAAAGAAAAAATCATCACGCGCTTCGGAAACATTCAAGCGACGAGAAAATAGATTGGAAACTGCTCGAGTACACAATGCTCAAACCCGTTCATCTGAAACAGTCGAGCAAAGACAAGAAACCGCCCGAGTACGCAATGCTCAAACCCGTTCATCTGATACAGTCGAGCAACGGGAATTAAGAATCGAAACAACACGAGTAAGCCATGCTGAAACCCAATTGTCTGAAACAGTCGAGCAGCGAGAAACAAGACTAAACTCCGTTAGAGTACGCACTGCTCGATCTAGATGAACACTGCACGCTGAATGTACTGATGTACTGTTGTCACGCATCCCAATGATGCCATTTGAATTCAAACGTCTGCATTTTACGGTGCGACACGCGTTTGCAATGACTATCTACAAAGCACAGGGACAATCGCTACAAGTTTGCGGACTAAATTTGGAAAACCCATGCTACTCCCATGGACAGATGTATGTGGCCTGCTCTCGCGTCGGAAAATTTTCTGATTTATTCGTGTATGTACCAGACGGAAAAAAAGAAAAACTTTATGTATTTAAAAGCTCTTGAAATGACATAATTAAAATGCAAACACTTTCTTTCTTTGAGAGGCATTGCAACGCATGCCCGGTTCTCACTAGTGTTTTAATAAAAAATGAGATAATGAAATCACTAATGTTTTAATCAAAAGTGAGATAATAAAATCACTAATTTTTTAATCAAAAAATGAGATAATGAAATCACTAATGTTTTAATCAAAAATGAGATAATGAAATCACCAATGTTTTAATCAAAAATGAGATAATGAAATCACTAATGTTTTAATCAAAAATGAGATAATGAAATCACTAATGTTTTAATCAAAAATGAGATAATGAAATCACTAATGTTTTAATCAAAAATGAGATAATGAAATCACTAATGTTTTAATCAAAAGTGAGATAATGAAATCACTAATGTTTTAATAAAAAATGAGATAATGAAATCACTAATGTTTTAATCAAAAGTGAGATAATGAAATCACTAATGTTTTAATCAAAAATGAGATAATAAAATCACCAATGTTTTAATCAAAAGTGAGATAATAAAATCACTAATGTTTTAATCAAAAATGAGATAATGAAATCACTAATGTTTTAATCAAAAATGAGATAATGAAATCACTAATGTTTTAATCAAAAATGAGATAATGAAATCACTAATGTTTTAATCAAAAATGAGATAATGAAATCACTAATGTTTTAATCAAAAATGAGATAATGAAATCACTAATGTTTTAATCAAAAATGAGATAATGAAATCACTAATGTTTTAATCAAAAATGAGATAATGAAATCACTAATGTTTTAATCAAAAGTGAGATAATAAAATCACTAATTTTTTAATCAAAAATGAGATAATGAAATCACTAATGTTTTAATCAAAAATGAGATAATGAAATCACTAATGTTTTAATCAAAAATGAGATAATGAAATCACTAATGTTTTAATCAAAAATGAGATAATGAAATCACTAATGTTTTAATCAAAAGTGAGATGAGGATATCACTAATGTCTTAATCAAAAGTGAGAGGATAATATCACTAATGTTTTGATCAAAAATGAGATAATGATATCACTAATGTCTAAATCAAAAATGGGATAATGATATTACTAATGTTTTAATCAAAAATGACATGGCCACAAAATTTGAAAAATTGAGCAATTTTGAGAAACCCTGTAATAGAATAACGATATGACCCAAAGCCAACTCATTCCAACACACTCTCTACACGAGGTGACTCCAAGCCCACTCATTCCAACACACTGTCTACACGAGCTGACTCCAAGCCCACTCATTCCAACACACTCTCTACACGAGGTGACTCCAAGCCCACTCATTCCAACACACTCTCTACACGAGGTGACCCCACGCCCACTCATTCCAACACACTCTCGTCACGAGGTGACCCCACGCCCACTCATTCCAACACACTCTCGTCACGAGCTGACCNAACACACTCTCGTCACGAGGTGACCCCAGGCCTACTCATTCCAACACACTGTCGTCACGAGGTGACTCCAAGCCCACTCATTCCAACACACTCTCTACACGAGGTGACCCCAAGCCCACTCATTCCAACACACTCTCTGCACGAGGTGACCCCAAACCCACTCATTCCATTACACTCTCTACACGAGGTGACCCCAAGCCCACTCATTCCAACACACTCTCTACACGAGCTGACCCCATGCTCACTCATTCCAACATACTCTCTACACGAGCTGACCCCAAGCCCACTCATTCCAACACACTCTCGTCACGAGGTGACCCCATGCTCACTTATTCCAACACACCCTCTACACGAGGTGACCCCAAGCCCACGCATTCCAACATATTCTCACTCTCATTGGCTTTGGCTAGGAAGTAGTTTCCGCACTGTGGAATCCGTGCAACACGTCACACACATCTCCAATCTCGAATCCCATCTTTCAAATCAGTGGTTTTCAACCTTCCTAATGCAGCGACCCTTTAAAACAGTTCCTCATGTCTTGGTGACCCACAACCATAAGATTATTTACGTTGTAACTTCATAAATATATTTTCCGATGGTCTCAGGAGACCCCTGTTTGAGGGTCGTTTGACCCCCATAGAGGTCGCGACCCTCATGTTGAGAACCGCTGTCTTAATTGAGGGAAAAAACAACTTTTTGCCTTCCGAAATACCCCGACCCGCCCAAGTCTAGGTTGTCGCTAGTAGGTGCTGACCCCGGACGGAAGTACTTAAAAATTGACCAAGCGTGATTGTCTCCGCCAACCGGATTCCGTTTGTAGATTACGAAGTGCATATATAATGTAGTCGACTTCTGCAACTTATGTAGGCGTCACCTAGACTTCTCTACTGCTCTACAGACATTTCTTGAGGAAGATACAGAATCACCGTAAGTATTTAACCCATAAATTCTTTTTATCAAAGCAAATTAGGTCACTTGCTCAAAACAGTATTTAAGTTATTTCTCACTGTTCAAATTTAAAAAAAAATATATAATTAATGTTACACTTAGTTAGAGAGGTTTTTTTTTTGAAATAAGATTTGCATTTCGCTGCTGCTTTAAAAAAATTAAAATATTTAAGTAATGAATATAATCAAGAGTGTATTTAATATTAATTCTACGCATCAAGGATCTTATGCGTGCATATTCTTGCAACTAATAATATATGCTAATGTAAGAAAAAGAATAATAGAAATGTTTTTTTTTTTTTATCGCAGTCCAACATTTTTTATAATTAGTTAATTTTTGCAAAGTGCAAACATAAGGACCATCAGGTTCTCAGTGACAAATTAAAAAAATAAAATAAAAATAAATGTAAGAAATAGCGTATACTTTCTTTTAAACTTTCTATAATTTACAAGCGTTCAATCTATCACAAGCTTTCAATAAATCATAAGCTCCAATCATTCGCAAGCATTCAATCATTCACACGCTTCAATCATTCACAAGCATTCAAATCATTCATAATAATTTAAATATTAACACGACTTTTATCATTCAGAAGCTTCAATTATTCACAAGCATTCAATCATTCACACGCTTCAGTCATTCACAAGCATTCAATCATTCAAAAAAACATTTGATCGTTCACAAGCTTTTAATCATTCAAATGCTTAAATAATTCACAAGCATTAAATAATTCACAGCATTTAATCACTCACAAGCTTCAATTATTCACAAGCGTTAAAGCGTTCTCAAGCTTCACTCATTCACAAGCATTCAATAATTAACAAGGGTTAAATCCTTCACAAACATTCAATCATTCACGAAAAATCAAACATTCACAAGCATTCAATTATTCACAATCATTCAATCATTGACAAGCGTTCATGCAATCAATCATCAGAATCTATGCTTAAGAGCAAAACTATTTTTCATCAAACATCAAATCTGCTAGAATATCAAATAATTCCCCTTAAAAAAAAAAAAACAAGGTGCAAAAAGATGTGAGAGATGATTGTTGGACATGATTGGCAAGGTTTAAAGAGATGTGAGAGATGATTGTTGGACATGATTGGCAAGGTTTAAAGAGATGTGAGAGATGATTGTTGGACATGATTGGCAAGGTTCAAAGAGATGTGAGAGATGATTGTTGGACATGATTGGCAAGGTTTAAAGAGATGTGAGAGATGATTGTTGGACATGATTGGCAAGGTTTAAAGAGATGTGAGAGATGATTGTTGGACATGATTGGCAAGGTTTAAAGAGATGTGAGAGATGATTGTTGGACATGATTGGCAAGGTTTAAAGAGATGTGAGAGATGATTGTTGGACATGATTGGCAAGGTTTAAAGAGATGTGAGTGATGATTGTTGGACATGATTGGCAAGGTTCAAAAAGATGTGAGAGATGATTGTTGGACATGATTGGCAAGGTTTAAAGAGATGTGAGAGATGATTGTTGGACATGATTGGCAAGGTTTAAAGAGATGTGAGAGATGATTGTTGGACATGATTGGCAAGGTTTAAAGAGATATGAGAGATGATTGTTGGACATGATTGGCAAGGTTTAAAGAGATGTGAGAGATGATTGTTGGACATGATTGGCAAGGTTTAAAGAGATGTGAGAGATGATTGTTGGACATGATTGGCAAGGTTTAAAGAGATGTGAGAGATGATTGTTGGACATGATTGGCAAGGTTTAAAGAGATGTGAGAGATGATTGTTGGACATGATTGGCAAGGTTTAAAGAGATGTGAGAGATGATTGTTGGACATGATTGGCAAGGTTTAAAGAGATGTGAGAGATGATTGTTGGACATGATTGGCAAGGTTCAAAGAGATGTGAGAGATGATTGTTGGACATGATTGGCAAGGTTCAAAGAGATGTGAGAGATGATTGTTGGACATGATTGGCAAGGTTTAAAAACATAAGAGATGATTATTCGACATGATTTCTTCTCCCACAGATCTGCGATGCTATTTTTATTGTTCCTCGCGCTGGGTGTGTTGGGATGTCATTGCAACAGCTACAATGAAACCATTTGTGACGCTGCCTCGGTGACGTCGGGTGGTCAATGGAAGGCCGTCATCAGGTTTTCAAGTCCCATCCATATAAATGACGTACGTCCAATTCCAGTATTGCTAAAAAATAATGAATTACAAATCCAGATTACGAAAGTAGTATTTTACTATTCAATTTCATAGTTTTTTTTTTTGTAGCTCAGGTTTTGAACAATCAAGTCAGTCCAACACTCACACCAAAAGTCCAACACTCACACCAAAAGTTCCAACACTCACACCAAAGTAATGTTCATTGTCTTATCCATTTTAAAACACTTTTTATTGTTTTCGATACTCTGGCAACGCATTAAAATTTCAACAAAAAAAAATTAAAAAAAATAAATCTTTAGATAAGCACCAAAGAAGCACACGACAGTTTAAAAAAAAATCTGGACTAGATCATGTTGGGACTGGAACATTTGTTGAGAGATCGCAAGTGACCTTGACCTTCATTTTTTGACGGCATTTTCTCTTATCCCTAAAGCCTTTTTTTAAAAAAAGATTACGTAACGCCAAGACTTATAAAAACTTTTGAGTTCTGGGCCTTAGTCCAGATCCGACATTAAAAATTTTTTTTAAAAATAATTTAATTTTTTTTTAAAAATGCACAACCTGTAGAACCTACATGCATAAAGATATTTCAAATAACATTATGTTTGTTCTTATGTTTGATTGTCAGCTTGGCTTTTACGGCGCCAGAAAATAAACTTTCTCCTTTAGCATTTCTTTTTTTTTTTTTTGTGCGGAACTCTTGCCTTTGTAACAACGCACTCGTAATTTAAAGTAATACATTTATTATATTTTCAAGATGTTCGATTTCACCAAAAATCCTTCTTAATTTTTTTTTTAAAACCACCCCACCCTTCTTTGGTTTTATCTTTTGTGTCACAAGTCAATAGTTGGCCAGATTTCCAAACTTATTCCACAAGATAACAGACTTTAACGGGCAATGAACTAATCAAAATAATACCAAATACCAGATTAAAATCTTGTTACACTTTATCCCGCAATTTCAGTTGTTTAAAAAAAAAAAGTCTGCCTAATGTCTTCACAGTGTCTTAATTTATAAAAAGCAATCAGGAGCGTAACTGTGTTTTTGACGCCCTTGGCAACTGCCCCCATGCCAAGCCGCTGTTACGCCGCTGAAAGTAATCAGAATAAATGATCGATTAAAAAGGAACATTGAAAAATAAACATCAACAAAATCTGAATTAAAACAAAAATTAGTAAATAAACCCAACGCCGAACAATTTTGAACAACATTCCGTTAACATCAAGAATCTGAAGCTGTTGGTTGATATTATTATTTCTATTACGTGGTTTTATAGAGCGCAGTACCCCAGCCTAGGGAAATTTTAGTCCTCTTCAGTCTCGAACATTCATTTCATAAACTTTAATTAACGATAAATCACCAAAACAACATATTTTCTTACGATTCAGTAGTGTTCTGAATTTAACCTGTGCAGCGTCCCACAAACCAGTGACAGATACCCAGGGGCGTAGGAAGGAGGGGACGGTCCACCATACCCAGGGGCGTAGGAAGGAGGGGACGGTCCACCATACCTAGTGGCGTAGGAAGGAGGGGACGGTCCACCATACCCAGGGGCGTAGGAAGGAGGGGACGGTCCACCATACCCAGGGGCGTAGGAAGGAGGGGACGGTCCACCATACCTAGTGGCGTAGGAAGGAGGGGACGGTCCACCATACCAAGTGGCACTTTTTTCTTTATATGGAGTGGCGGCAAAATTCATTTTTTTGTGTGGAGATGGGCCGAAAAAAATCGTTACCCACACCAGCTACGCCACTGGATAAAACTGCTATAAAATTAGGGTTCAACTACCCCTTTTACCCCCTACCTTCCAAATGGACGGAGAAGCACGATTTTCATGATTACCCTTCAATCGGAATATTGGCTTCATGCGCCATTAGGCTCAATAGGTAGCGTGATCATGTGAGCTCTTTTGTATCAACTCCGTTTCTATAAACATTGGCCCCCAGAATAATATGTAACCAATCAGGTGTATTTCACGTGTCCCAGGTCATCGGTGGCCAACTTTCTCTAAGCCACAGTGATAGCAGGTATGTTCAAGTGACCGGTACGGCCCAAGAGGACTTGGACAAGGTGTGTTTCACCTTACTAGGCAGCTACACCGGCGACTCTGCACCCACAACCGTGGCGCTGGTATACGCACTTCCAGCCATTGGATCAGCTGGTTCCAGGGAAATTAGAAGTCTCAGGGAGAAGCGCGGTAAGCAGGGGTGTAGGAAGTGGGTGTGGAAAGGGCTGTCCACCCTGGGCGGCACTTTCTTACACGGAGAGGGCGACATTTTCGCTGAATTGCAGATTTTAAAAATAACTTTTTTGAAGGAAAAAAATCTTCTCCCCCCCCCCCTTCCCGGGGCAGCAGTCACCCTAGCGACACTAATGGAGGTAACTCAAGGAGAATCTTGTCAAAATTATGACATTGATGACATTTCTGACATTTTGATGGTCGCGGGGGAAAAATCAATTTTAGGACTATAAAATTAATTGAATTAAAGTTAAAGTTTTATTTCCCGTGAATGCATTAATATCCCCATCATCCCCCACACCCACCAAGAGATTGTCTCCCACGAACTTAAAGAGATTGTCTCCCACGAACTTAAAGAGGTTAGCCTCCACGAACTTAAAGAGATTGTCTCCCACGAACTTAAAGAGATTAGACTCCACGAACTTAAAGAGATTGTCTCCCACGAACTTAAAGAGATTAGCCTTCACGAACTTAAAGAGATTGTCTCCCACGAACTTAAAGAGATTAGCCTCCGCGAACTTAAAGAGGTTAGCCTTCACGAACTTAAAGAGATTGTCTCCCACGAACTTAAAGAGATTAGCCTCCACGAACTTAAAGAGATTGTCTCCCACGAACTTAAAGAGATTAGCCTCCACGAACTTAAAGAGATTAGCCTCCACGAACTTAAAGAGATTGTCTCCCACGAACTTAAAGAGATTAGCCTCCACGAACTTAAAGAGGTTAGCCTTCACGAACTTAAAGAGATTGTCTCCCACAAACTTAAAGAGATTAGCCTCCACGAACTTAAAGAGATTAGCCTCCACGAACTTAAAGAGATTAGCCTCCGCGAACTTAAAGAGATTAGCCTCCACGAACTTAAATAGATTAGCCCCCACGAACTTAAAGAGATTAGCGTCCACGAACCTAAATAGATTAGCCCCCACGAACTTAAAGAGGTTAGTCCCCACGAACTTAAAGAGATTAGCCCCCCCCCCCCCACGAACTTAAGAGATTAGCCTCCACGAACTTAAAGAGGTTAGTCCCCACGAACTTAAAGGGATTAGCTCCCACATTTGAAATGATGTATTATTTCCTTTTTCTTAAGTTCTTAGATTCAATAAATTGCCAGATTTCTTGGACTTATTTAATTATGTAAATAAAACAATAATACATCAGACGTGTACTCACTCAGCTATTTATCGTTGAACTCTCAGCAACCACAGTGTGGACGCTTTCCTCTGTGCCCCAAACATCGGACATCAAGGCTCTGCTGAAACCATTTGAGCCGTACCACCACCAATGGGGAGACGACTCGCTGTCCGCATCGACCAAGCACTCTTCCAGCCCCGCCCTCACCGTCCACTACGCCAAGGGATCTTACTCCAAGACACCACACCGAGGTAAACCATTGGCTCTTAAACCGAGGTAAACCATTGGCTCTTAAACCGAGGTAAACCATTGGCTCTTAAACCGAGGTAAACCATTGGCTCTCAAACCGAGGTAAACCATTGGCTCTTAAACCGAGGTCAACCATTGGCTCTTAAACCGAGGTAAACCATTGACTCTCAAACCGAGGTAAACCATTGGCTCTTAAACCGAGGTAAACAATTGGCTCTTAAACCGAGGTAAACCATTGGCTCTTAAACCGAGGTAAACCATTGGCTCTCAAACCGAGGTAAACCATTGGCTCTTAAACCGAGGTCAACCATTGGCTCTTAAACCGAGGTAAACCATTGGCTCTCAAACCGAGGTAAACCATTGGCTCTCAAACCGAGGTAAACCATTGGCTCTTAAACCGAGGTAAACCATTGGCTCTCAAACCGAGGTAAACCATTGGCTCTCAAACCGAGGTAAACCATTGGCTCTTAAACCGAGGTAAACCATTGGCTCTCAAACCGAGGTAAACCATTGGCTCTCAAACCGAGGTAAACCATTGGCTCTTAAACCGAGGTAAACGATTGGCTCTCAAACCGAGGTAAACCATTGGCTCTCATTTTCACCAAGAATTACAAGATAAAACGTCCCATTTTAGATGGTGATCTGTTAAATGTCACTATAAACTTGTCAAAAAGATGGGCGTGGTTTTATAAACTACCACCTTGTCCAATATGATGGGCGTGGTTGTATGAACTATAAACTTGTGAAAAAGATGGGCGTGGTTTTATAAACTACCACCTTGTCCAATATGATGGGCGTGGTTGTATGAACTATAAACTTGTCAAAAAGATGGGCGTGGTTTTATAAACGACCACCTTGTCCAATATGATGGGCGTGGTTGTATGAACTATAAACTTGCCAAAAAGATGGGCGTGGTTTTATAAACTACCACCTTGTCCAATATGATGGGCGTGGTTGTATGAACTATAAACTTGCCAAAAAGATGGGCGTGGTTTTATAAACTACAACCTTGTCAAATATGATGGGCGTGGTTGTATGAACTATAATCTGGTCAAAATGATGGAAGTGGTCCTGCAAACTTTAAGCTTGTGAAACTAATGGGTGTGGTTATATAAACCAGACCCTTGACAAAATGATGGAAGTGGTCCTGTGAACTATAACCTTGTCAAAATGATTGAAGTGGTCCTGTGAACTATAACCTTGTCAAAATGATTGAAGTGGTCATGTGAACTATAACCTTGTCAAAATGATTGAAGTGGTCCTGTGAACTATATCCTTGTCAAAATGATTGAAGTGGTCCTGTGAACTATAACCTTGTCAAACGGATGGATCAGGTCCCATGAACTATAACCATGAATGTATTTATTTAGGCGGTGGCTTTATGACAACTCCGACTCACTTGCCCGACGGAGTGACTTCCCTTATTCTGAAATATGACGTTTATTTCGAGAACTTTGGATTTGGCATTGGTGGCAAACTCCCAGGTCTGTACGGTGGAGTTAAAGGAGAGGGTGCCTATCAGTGTTCTGGGGGCAACAACCCAAGCACGTGCTTTTCATTGAGGTAAATGACACCATAACATAAGCAGTTCAATTTAAAATCTATTAGTTCTCATGAAAAAACCAGTGTATCTAGTAGTTCTCATGAAATAACCAGTGCATCTAGTAGTTCTCATGAAATAACCAGTGCATCTAGTAGTACTCATGAAATAACCAGAGAATCTAGTAGTGCTCATGAAATAACCAGAGCATCTAGTAGTACTCATGAAATAACCAGTGCATCTAGTAATACTCATGAAATAACCAGTGCATCTAGTAGTACTCATGAAATAACCAGAGCGTCTAGTAGTACTCATGAAATAACCAGAGCATCTAGTAGTACTCATGAAATAACCAGAGCATCTATTAGTACTCATGAAATAACCAGAGCATCTAGTAGTACTCATGAAATAACCAGTGCATCTAGTAGTACTCATGACATAACCAGTGCATCTAGTAGTTCTCATGAAATAACCAGTGCATCTAGTAGTTCTCATGAAATAACCAGTGCATCTAGTAGTACTCATGAAATAACCAGAGAATCTAGTAGTGCTCATGAAATAACCAGAGCATCTAGTAGTACTCATGAAATAACCAGTGCATCTAGTAATACTCATGAAATAACCAGTGCATCTAGTAGTACTCATGAAATAACCAGAGCGTCTAGTAGTACTCATGAAATAACCAGAGCATCTAGTAGTACTCATGAAATAACCAGTGCATCTAGTAATACTCATGAAATAACCAGTGCATCTAGTAGTATTCATGAAATAACCAGAGCGTCTAGTAGTACTCATGAAATAACCAGAGCATCTAGTAGTACTCATGAAATAACCAGAGCATCTAGTAGTACTCATGAAATAACCAGAGCATCTAGTAGTTGTCCATCTTAGCGTAAGGGGCGGCAAGCTCTTGGTAGTACTGTGCTAAGGAAGATTGTCTTATTGACTGACCCAACAAACCGAATGTCCGCTGGCACAAGGGAACTTTTTTCATCATTTTTTCGGGGCTCGTCCGCATGCAAAAGAACTACTCTGCGTGTCACGTGCGGCACGCGTGACGTAGATCACTGACCCTGTCTTAGAGTATACTAAGTAAAAAAAAACACAACCTGTGAACTTATCCGTCCCTTTGACACCAGGCTGATGTGGAGAGAGAACGGGGATGGTGAGGTGTATGCCTACATACCCGACAACCAACGCAGTGACTTCAACAGCCGGTCTGACGTAGAGGTCAACTATCAATACGGCCATTCAATAATGAGAGGGGCCATTAAATTCAGGGTGAGAATCTTGAAATGTTTAGTTCATTAGTCGCACCTACGGGCATGCTCTGAAAAGAGAGGCCATTAAATTCAGGGAGAGATTCTCTAATGTTAAGTTTTTTAGGCATAAAGCTGCTCACTTTTTTTGTGTGTCATATAATATCAAAGACATTATAGTTGTGGCTAAATCTGGCCGCTATCTTAATCACATATCTATCTGGCGCAGCAAGTGTGATGTCATTTTAATGACATATCTGTCTCGTGCAGTTCATGTGTCATTGACCTTTTATTTACTTTAATCCACCCCCTAACTTTTGCCTCCCCCCCCCCCTATCTTCCCCTTGCTCTAGAATGGCGCCTGGCAGACTGTGACAGAAGAGGTCCACCTGAACACGGTCCACCAGTTTGACGGACGGGTCAAGTTCTGCGTCAAGCACGGCTCAGAGGCGGAGTCCTGCCACGAGGCCCAACATCTCAACATGCGTAACGACGCCAACTTCTTCCTGCGCGGCCTCTTTTTCTCCACTTTTTTCGGCGGCAGCTCCACCAACTTTGCCGCCCCGAACGACTGCCACACGTACTTCAGGAACTTTAGCCTGACCATTCCATCCGGGACAGCAGTAGGTTAAACATAGCACGCAACTGCTTTGTGAACTTTGAACCTTAAACATTTATTAAAACTGTTTTTAAACACAACACATCATCTTTGTTGTAAATTGCTTTTACCATTTCTTGATCTCCAGACAGACCCGGGAGGGGGGGGTCGGAACGGGAGGGGGGGCGGGTGGGGGAGGGTTATGGGGACACCCCTAAGTATTATTAATCATCTTCTTCTATATTTTTATGGACAATAAATTAACGTGATGATAATTAATTTTGTTCAAACAATTCATTTCGTCATTAGATTGGCACCTGCTTTGAACTTACATAGATCTATATGATGACAAGATGACATGAGACGAAACTCCATTAGATCTGTTCTTATTTAGTTCTTAGGTTCAACTCCAAGAGGTTTTCTAGAGTTTGATGTCTGGCAGGTTGGCTACAAAGGACTTTATACTTAAAACACGGTCTGACCACCGTGTGTGGGACAAAATAAAACGTAACGTGCCCAATAAATTTACTGTTACCGAATGGCTGTCACATATGATACAAGTATCATGTGTTAAGCTACTCACGTTCTAGTGGTACACATGTGTTACATGAGTCACTAACGGTCGTGTGGTACACATGTGTTACATGAGTCACTAACGGTCTAGTGGTGCACATGTGTTATTTGAGTCACTCACGGTCAAATGGTACGTACACATGTGTTAAGTTAGTCATTTAACACATAAAGGCGAGTGCTAGAAGGCTGGAGTGTTAAAAGAAAGGGAGATAAAGTCGTAAATATAAAGTGTAAATATTTATTATCGTTTTGTCCCCTGCCTGTAACAAACAATGTGTGTGTCTACGTGTATGCGATTGTATGTGTTTGTGTGTGTGTTTTGTTTAGGTTGGGGGGGGGGAATGGTCAGTTTCAAGCAGGCTCTGAAAGCTAGACTGGCCAACTGTCTTTGTAGACAGTTTCAAAGCCCTGAAAGCTTAACTGCCTACTGTATTTGTGGTCATAAGGGGAGAGACTGCAATCAGGTTAGTACAAAATAAAATGAGTAAAACAGAGTATGGTTAAACCTGAAAAATTAAACGTAACAAAACAGCGAACGTGTCGGCAGAAAGCCTTCGTCAGCGAACAAAACAACAGAAAAAACGTTATAAAAATAAGAAATAGCACTTAGCTGGTAAGTAGTATCTGTGGGCAGCAATAGAACTGTATTTGTGGTCAGTTTCAAGGCTCTGAAAGCTTAACTGGCCTACTGTATTTGTGGTAAGTTTCAAGACTCTGAAAGCTAGACTGGCCAACTGTATTTGTGGTCAGTTTCAAGGCTCTGAAAGCTAGACTGGCCAACTGTATTTGTGGTCAGTTTCAAGGCTCTCAAAGCTAGACTGGCCAACTGTATTTATGGTCAGTTTAAGGCTCTTAAAGCTAGACTGGCGAACTGTATTTCTGGTCAGTTTCAAGGCTCTGAAAGCTAGACTGGCCAACTATATTTCTGGTCAGTTTCAAGGCTCTGAAAGCTGGATATCATTTGACATTTGAATAATTTAGTCTGGAACAGCATTCTGAATAAATACTTTATATCAAGTCTTAAAGGTAAATATTATTTTCACCACCTTTAACAAGCTCTAGCTATTGCCATCATGCGTTAGGGTCATGAAAGTACACCTACCCCCCCCCCCCCCCAACCCCCCCCCCCCCCCCAAACCGCCCATGTCACTTCCATGACTTCCCTGTCTCTCCAATCATGTACTCTCTATTTCGCCGCCCCTTCTCTAGCTAGAGCAACAACGAAAATCTCAACACGACGGTAAACATACATGAAGCTGTTTGTCCTGTTATGACTATGTCCAGATTTCTAGGGACACTTGCCGGACTTCCCAGTGGAATGACCGCCCTTAAATTGAATGCAAAATTTATTTGAACTATTTGAGTTCGTGTGGGAACAGTGGTACTATTCCTGTGGTCATTTGCAAATAGTGAGTACCTGGCATGGACTAATGAGCAGTGCTTGAGAAGTCCATCTCTGTTGATGTTGTTTGTAATTGCAGATTATTGATGTAGTTTGTTTGTTTATTTTGTTGATGTAGTTAAAGACTCTATTAAAAAGGTTTATATATTCGCCATTAGCGTAAGAATTAGGGGAGGGGGGGGGGCGAGTCGAGCACCAACCCAATTTTTCTTTAAACCAAGTGGCGGCGTGTTTTTGGCAAACTGGACATTTCTTCGCGAGGCATGTGCTGGCCCTAGCAGAACCAACCCTGGCTACGCCTCTGATCTCCTTCAGATTTTCAAATGCTTGGTATTCACTTGCTGTGTCAGGATCCCATAACTTAATCATACACATATCTACTGTTTACAAGGAATAATGTCAGGATCCTATAACTTATCACACACATATCTACTTTCTACATCGTCCAATGGCAGCTATATGCCTTGTAGTGTGATCTGACTTTTAGAATATGGGACTAGTTTGGGCATCTTTCATGATAGGCCCCATGTCATAGACACCATGTAGTTGAACAATGACATATGACATGTAGTTGAACAGTGACATATGACATGTAATTGAACAATTACATGTAAGATAAGATAAGATTCTTTTATTGATCCAAATAATTGGAATTTTTTTTGATTGCATTATACATTTTCAGCACCAAAATAAAACAATTTGAACACAAGACATTTATAATAAATTATTTCAAACAGCCATTCAATGAGTTCTCTTAGCAAAATCGGGGACTTATTAGTTCTCATTCACATGTGTGACTTCAGAGGATGCACGCCGGTAAATTCGTACAGATTGGGGAACAAAAGAATTTTTATATCGGTCAGTCCTCGCCCTGATGGAAAGAATTCGTCCCGAACGGCCCGATCCTAAGTATCTGTGATGAAGAGGGTGGGATATATCATCCAAAATGTGTTTAGTTTTGCAAACACATCTTTCTTCAAATAGTTCTTAAAGTAAAGGATGTTTAGTTTGTGTTATGTTTCTAGCTTTCTTGATTAGTCGGTTTATGCGGTGTTTAATATCAGACGTTGAATTCCCACACCAGCAGGTAATACTGAAATTAAGTAGGCTTCCAATAGTTGCACTGTAGAATAAGTTAACGACCTGCCTGTTTACGCCAACATTGTACAGTTTTTTGAGGTAGAACAGTCTTTGTAATTGACATGTAATTGAACAATGACTTATGATATGAAGTTGAACAATGACATATGACATGTAGTTAAACAATGACATATGGCATGTAGTTGAACAATGGCATGTGGTTGAACTATGACATATGGCATGTAGTTGAACAATGACATATGGCATGTAGTTGAACAATGACATGTGGTTGAACAATGATATATGGCATGTAGTTGAACAATGACATGTGGTTGAACAATGACATATGGCATGTTGTTGAACAATGACATGTAGTTGAACAATGACATATGGCATGTAGTTGAACAATGACATGTGGTTGAACAATGATATATGGCATGTAGTTGAACAATGACATGTGGTTGAACAATGACATATGGCATGTAGTTGAACAATGACATGTAGTTGAACAATGACATGTATTTGAACAATGACATATGCCATGTAGTTGAACAATGACACGTAGTTGCACAATGACATGTAGTTGAACAATGACATGTATTTGAACGGTGACATATGACATGTAGTTGAACAATAACATGTGGTTGAACAGTGACATACGACATGGAGATGAACAATGACATATGACATGTAGTTGAACAATGACATATGACTTGTAGTTGAACAAGACATATGGCATATGAGATTTAGAGATGCAAACAAATTAAACATGGAATAAAGCAGGGTCTGGAAACATATTTATTGCATGGGCGCTGGGAAATTATTTTTTTGTTTGCGGGCCGCTAGATAATTTGTTTACGTCATTAGGTCATTTACATTTTCGCATGCGTCGCGTCCATGGCAACACAACGCGTCCATGGCAACACAACGCGTCCATGGAAACACAATGCGTCTATGGCAACACAACGCGTCTATGGCAACACAATGCGTCTATGGAAACACAACGCGTCCATGGCGACACAACGCGTCTATGGCAACACAACGCGTCTATGGCAACACAACGCGTCTATGGCAACACAACGCGTCTATGGCAACACAACGCGTCTATGGCAACACAACGCGTCTATGGCAACACAACGCGTCCATGGCAACACAACGCGTCCATGGAAACACAATGCGTCTATGGCAACACAACTCGTCTATGGCAACACAACGTGTCTATGGCAACACAACGCGTCTATGGCGACACAACGCGTCTATAGAAACAACAATAAAACAAAAATGTGGCTGAATCAGAGAGAACAATGTATATCTATAAATACTCTCTGGTTCTCTGGTTGACAGCCTGTGGTGGCTTGTCGATTAGGAGGCGTCGGCCACCGACCACTTCGACGTTACCCGGGGAACACAACTACTGGACGCGTCCCGCGTGGGCAGACAAGGGATGTGCTCGGTACCTGCCGTACATAAAACAGCCCCCAAAGGGCTGCCAGTTGTGATACTTCACAGCTTGAAAAATATGCAGAGACAGAGTAGGGGTCATGATTACAAGTTGCCGTTAATGGATCTGAGGCGAGAGGCGAAGGTGGTAACCTCTAGTCGATGATTCTTACAATGCAGCCCTGAGAAGCTGCTCCAAGGCAACCGTTTCGTCCCAGCTACATCGTGAATTAGTTGCGTTGTGGAAACCCACTGTAGAATCCCTCTTATAGGGCGTCTAACGCTTCCCTGGGATGGGTGGGGGAAGATATTAGGACGTACATTTTTCCATCCCGACTCCTGAGAAAGTTGATCGTGTGCACTGTGTGCGAACACAGTGTCGGACCGACCGGGTGTCTTTGGGTTAGGACGGCCCCCGGCGGAGACCCTGGTCGAGCAGACTCAGGTGGGGGGTTGTCCTGACAAAGGGACATCCCCGACGTGCCGTTCCGCGGCCCGAGACCGGGTTGGGGAGGGGTGTTTTGGGGAGGGCATAACGAGCGCAAGCTCGACGGCCCGCTGACACCATTTCTTAATAAGTATCCCCCCCCCCTTTAAGTATTCAGACA